CCACTATCGTATTACATATTAGTATGTTGTAAGAGAAAATTTACTGTCAAACCTTATTTATCGTTCTCAGAATATGTCACATGATTGGTTACTTTTCAATTATAAGCGACTTGTCAGGTTTTTGGCGAAATATTGTTTGCTCATTTGCTCGAAAGGTCTTTGTTCACAATGCCTAAAAAACCTGCAATATCATGGTGCAGAGCACTTTGTGCTGGCGTCCTTTTTTTTTCCAGTTGATCTCCCACCTCTGGCCTTTGATTTGGGGTGGACAGAGTGGCATACTGTTCTGATGTTGCTTCAATACTGTGGCTTTCTGAGCCGTCGGTGTAGCTGATGATGAATCCTTACTGCTATAAGAGATGGCCATGAGGCTATGAGCAGTGAAAGTGGGGTCCGCGAGTTTCAACATGGCATTAAATGCAAATTAATTGACCTCACATCTAATTCCCAACTCTCCCTGTGGTTGCTCTACAGCGTCAACCGCAACGAAATGTTCCATGAGTGCAAGAAACTCAACAGCATCCTTCGTTGACTACAGGAAATATAACATTGAGAAGGTGTCACCCATCATCTGATCCATCTTTAGTAGGAAAATGTACATCAGGAGGAAATGTTCGTAAAGTTGTTCGCAATCGGTCCCATTCAACGCAGCCATGTCTGCGCCCACGTGCTGTGCAGAAGGTTGGCTGATACACGTGCACGCAGCGCCTTTGAGGCAAATTTGCGCCCTCGGCCAGGATATTCCCCCCCCCCCCCAACCGTGATTTGTCAATGTCGTGTCAGTGGTGTTTCCTTTTCTACGGCTTCGGCCGTAATGCCTCTTGGGAGCAAAAGCGGAGTAAATTAAAGGTGCCCCTCCAGTAAGGGGAACACTCTCCCAAGTTTGTGGGGCGTTTCTCTGGGGAACTCTTGAAGTTTGGGGCATTTCTTGACTTCGCTGGTAAATAAATAGTTTGGACTGGATCAGGTTGGCTTTGGAGGATACCGCATCCATTCATCCATTCACCAATTTATGAAAAAATAGGGATCCCGCTAGATCTTTAACCTATTTCACTTATTTGAATGAATCCATCTACCTTCGTTGCCTTACCATTAGCTGAATAAGGTAGCGTTGAATTGCACACCGCATTTCTCTTTTTTTTGACACTCACAGTCGCTGCGTCCAGACACATCAACCAGCCCAAACCACACACGCCTGTTTGCGCCCCAGTGATTTGGTTCAGGGCCATGTTCAGGGCCGTAGGAGCTGGAGGCTGGTGTAAACATAAACAGACCCCAATTGGGTCAAATGGCGTGCACCATGCACCAAAGCAGAAAGGGTGGGAGGGAAGATAAGGAGTCTGGTGGATAAACAAGCTGATGGTGTTGATCAAGGCCGTCCGATCGACAGTAAAAAAACCTGGACGCATCTACAACCACACAGACAGGCGGCGTGGTGGGAACGAACACCCAAAACTGCGAATCACCTAAAGCTTCGGCGTTTTTCTGGAAAGATTAGGCTAAATAGGGAGGAGGCTACTTCTATCATAAAAGGAATTTTGATTATCCAGACGAGGGGCTTATGTATATAAAAGAGCGGGGGATAAATTAAACGAGGAAACAGACGTACTGCAGTGAAACAGACACGGATGAGTTCCTCAAGGGGACAGGATTAAATCCCCATGAATAAATGCGCAGTCAGGAAAAACACTTAAAAAGTATAAATTATTGTATCTAGAATAGATAGATAGATGGATGGATGGATGGATGGATGGATGGATGGATGGATGGATGGA